ACAGATTTTACGCCTGTCTGAAACCCTACCTCAGCAGGCCGTTCCTCCTGTCTCTTTCCAATCCCGTTCTCTTCTTTTCGCGAAATCTTCATCTTCGCTTTCTTTGAGTCTACCAACTTCTTCGTTCAACTTTGCTGACACTCTTTAAAATCCAGATGATGACAATCCCCCACTGCGAGCTCGCAATGGTGCTGGCATTTGGTAGGTGTTTAGCATCACTTCGGGTAGCCTAACGCGTGTGGCTGACCGTTCCCGCTGAGCCTGATATGATAGAGAGCACCGCCCGAGAGGTCTGCGCCCGCTTCACCTTACATGTCCGGTTATGTCACGCTGGGTCTCATATAAGTGTTGACGTCAGACCGCGCGATGCCTCGACTGATGCGGGAGGTGTCTCACGCTTCGGCCGGTGACGTCTACGATGTGCTGTGGTGACGTATTGCACGGGTGAGTGGTTTATCTAATGCACTGGGCATTGCGATTTTTCCCAATACCGTTATGGGTTGATCGTGTCGCGAGCGCTTATTTTGTGTGGCTGTGAATAATATTATCGTACCAGAAGCAGCACAATAGCAAAATACCTCTCCTTTGAATCTCCTGGCATCAAGAAATTTTAATGCAGACAAAAAAATGTCGTAGATGTTCTTGAGCATACATGATATACCATACTAGGTGTAACATACATTATTGAACTATTTTGATAAAAGTGCCCTCCTAAATTCAACAGTTGCCTTAACATCGCCTTAGGCGTGCTGGCACAATTTTGTAGTGCTTGGCAGAGTGCACGGCAACTGCAGCTTTCAAACGAGGTTTGAGAGGATGGTGACAATGACAGTAAAAGACACGTCAACCCTATGTCACGTCAACAGCTTAGTGGCTGAACTGACTCGAGATAAACAGCTTCCTCTATTCAAAGCTCAAGTAACGGGCACTGCGCTAAAGCAAAAGGAGGAAACACGACTACTGCGGGACTTCGCAGAGGCCACAGCGACTGCGCCAAGCGGGTTGCTAGTGCAAATGAAAAGATAAAAGCGATTACTTTAATAACACCTTAGGTCCCTGGTGCCCTGGTACTTAACATTGGACACGATCACCGCCTCAGTGCTCACGCTAGCTGCTTGAAAATATTCTGGTGCACGTCCAGTCCTATTGATTGAATTGAAATACGAAATCATATATAACTGGATCTGACGAGCTGCCAGGTATGTCAGCGAATGAGTTCACATCGTCAGAAACCCCACGTTTTCAATGGTAGCCAACGGTCACAAGGTCTAACGGAAGAGCTCAGTGTAAATATGATAGGTCATCCGCCTTCTACTTGCCACAGGCACGAGTATTTGCTTATTGTCCTCGACAAATCCACAAAGTAAAACGAACTTTATGCTTATCGGACTAATACTAGCCGGTACATTACGGACCGAACGGTTGTCTTGTTTTCCTCTTATGGCTTTCCAAATTCTTGCTTGAGCGACACCGGAGAACCGCTCCTGGGCGCACACTGGAAGGGTATCATGAAGCGAAGGGGCATCCAGTGCCGTCACATTGTTCCCAATGATCCTATGGGTCAAGCTGTCGAGCGCTGCAACGGTACTGTCAACAAGTGCCTTCGGGTATATTGCAATACCGATCGAGATGAGGATCGGCATATTGCTGAAATCTTCTTTGCTCTGAGGTTGTCGCAAAGCGTCACAACCGGGACCAAACCGGCATTCCATTGCTACAAACGAGAATTTTGTTGCCCTGCATGAAACATCACGTGAACTGAAAGACTCTGAACCACCGGCTGCGGTGGCACCTTCATTTGCACGCGAACTTTCGCAAACTATCCAGCAGTTTATTGTCGCCAATGTAAAAAAAGAAAAAAAATGCCAAAGCAATTTAGAAAATTCAATTCAGCGAAGACCGGCATACTTGCGGTTAAATCTGATGACGTAGTTTTGAGACATCCGCACACATTTTGTAAGGACAGTAATGAAAATGCAGCGAAACTTCTATGTGAACTGTGAGGTCTACTCCGAGTTATCAGACAACTCGGAACCAACGACTTTTGTATGGTGATCCTGTTTCTGGTGTATAGTGTGGAATGGCTGACGCCCACTACGTGGAACTTTACTATCCTGTTTGGAGGGAACAGCGCAAAAAGGACGTAGGACGAGATCGAAGAAACACACAGACAGGGCGCTGTTACAACTGAAAGTTTATTGCTCTGAAGAAAGAGAAATAAACACAGAAAGGAGGAAGGGGAGAGAACAAACAAATCAAACCAATAACATGCGGCATCACCCACGCCCACGCTCCGTCACACGAAACTGCCACACTTTCTTACAAAATCCACCTCGTCATTTGCAAGGGCAACCGAAGGAGCGCTCACACACGTGTCAGCTCCGATAGACGCGATAAAAAACGCTTCGTCTATCTCCCTCGCAGTTTTGTTTTTGTGACGAGACAAAATCTTTATGTCACGAAATGACGGCGTGCAGCCACACCTGTCACAATGAACCGCTAGGTTTCCTGAGGGCGAGGAACGCAAAGAAAGGGAATGTTTCCTTGCCCTTACGTTTACAAAACGCCCGGTTTGACCAATATACACCCTACCGCAGGACAGGGGGATCTGGTACCCGACCCCGCTTACACAGGCGACGTACGGGGTGCGATGTTTGACGTCGCACACAACGGAAGGGCGTCCCTCTCTACTAACAGCAGCACAAAGGTGTGAAAGCTTAGATGGCGCCGAGAAGACGACAGGCACCTCAAACAGCGCCCTGTCTGTGTGTTTCTTGGACCTCGTCCTACGTCCTTTTTGCGCTGTTCCCTCCAAACAGTATGTACCACTAACTAGCCCAACTACATGCCTTGCTTTACTATCCTCCGTGGTCACCATTATCCCCCGCCTTTTTTTTATTTCGAAGACGATGACGATTGTACAGGAAGTCACTGCGGAGCGCACATGCCATCATGATGACGAGTGTTCATCTCGCGCACCTGGGGCTAGCAGAAGAAAGGAACGAAGTAGAAAATAAAGAATGGGCTTTCGTTGAACGCGAAACTTCTATACAGATTGCGCTTGGTGATAGCAGTTTTTATGTCTTTGGCCTGAACTCCTTTCGTGACACTGAAGTCAGTGTCATGGTTAACCTCGGCTCAGGATCTAGCGCTCGTATTCTCAAACCGAAGCGATAAGGCGCCGTTCTTCAGCCAAGCTACTTCTCCGCCATGCAGGGTATATGCGAATAAAACAGCGGTATTAGCAAAACTTGTGTCTCATCTTGCTTTATTTTTCTTGTTCGAAACAATCCGTTTTTAACATTATAAGCTTAGCAGAAATTTTAAATGTATTCTACGACTTTGTGCTTCTTAGAAAAAAATGGAACTTAAGTTGTCATTCTGCCTGAAGAGGCAGGAGCTCGAACTACTCTTGGCATCGGGAAGATGAGTTATACACCCTCTCTGGCATCCTGCTTCCACCCGCGACTTAGATAAGTCGCGGACGGAATAACTTTGTAGTGTGTGGATCAACCCATGCTGTATTCCGACTTATGTTAAGCCGGTGACTCGAATTGTTTTTGTAAACTTCAACGTCAGCGGTAAAATACACTGGCCCCTCCTCGCTGGATTCGGCATTGAATGTATGTTAAATTTTCCCGCTAAATTTAGCGCGGAAAGTGATATCACGGGACCTATCTCCGAACTAAAGTTTTCAGTTAAATTTAGCGAGAAATTATGTGTTATGGAACGTGATGTCACGGGACATAGAGACGAACTCAGTTTTCCCGCTACATTTTTCGCAAAAAATTGACGTCACCTAACCTACGCGCCAATTCAGTTTCCTTGCAACATTTGGCGGGAAAGTAGTGTCACCTGACGTCAGCAGACGTCAAGTGACCAAAGTGCCAACTCCGTTTTCCCGCTAAAAGTCAAATTTGGGGGTTTTTCGTGCCAAACTAACGACGGGCATCTGACACGTCCCAGAGGAGGACTGAGGATTAATTTGGACCACCTGGAGATCGTTTGACGTGCAACCGAAAGCACGGTTACACGGACCTTTCTCCGCAAATAAGCCTTCGTCAGATTGCTTTCACCTCGGGCGGGATTTGAACCCGCTACATGGAGATCCGTAGGCCGGCGCTCTCGCCTCGGAGCCACCGAGGCGGCTTCAGTTTTCCCGCTAAGTTTAGCGGGAAAGGTTTCGTATAGTGGTCACAACGTCAATGCTGTTTCCCCCAAATTTAGCAAAAAAATATTAACATTATGTCACCTATCCACCAGGTGAGTCATCCGCCAAATTAGTCTGGAAAATTAACGTCTTGTGTCTTATACACCAGTCGGGTTTCCCCGCTAAATGTAGCGGTGGAATTCGACGTCACGTGGCCTGACGTGACGTGACCTGCACAAGCATTGAGTTTGCCCTCTAAGTTTGGCTGGAACATATACCTCACGCGACACACTGATTCCCTCACCAATTTTCTCACCAATTACCCATAATGCATTTTATGCATTATACGACTGTAAACGTAAAGCTAGCTGCGAACTTTTTACATTATCCTCTTAAATGATGAGCTTTCGACACAAAATTATTACAATTGAGGGCGTCCCCCCTTCATCCCCCCCTTCCAGTGGCGTGCTTAGCGATGTGCGTTTTTCTCTTTCCCTCTGCGGCCAGCGACACAACCCACATCTTCAATTCCCCCATAGATTTCGTTTCGGCATTGTTCCTGAAATCGAACATATTTCTATTGGCCGCCCGGCCACCCGCCGTGGAGTGGTTTCCTTCGCACTTCCGACCCTCTGCGCACCGCTGAATCATCCGGGACAAAACCATACTATTTCAACCTAGAACGAGTCCCGAAAACCATGAAAACACATGTGTTTGTTTAACCGCAGGCCAGAATCTTGTCCGGTTCGGAGAGCCCTTTTGCACAACTACCTCTCCAGGCACCAATGACACTTAGAGATTTCGCTGCTTAGTGTCGTTTTTATGTAAAAGCAGGAGTCATTGCTTTCAGACGGAATGTGCGGCTCTGATCCTCGGGGAAAAATTTCTTGATAACAAGTACTACAAGATGTTAGTTCAAATTGCACCGGAACTTGAAAAGTCGTCGCCGAGAGAGTTGAACAGCCAAAGGTGACAATTCAAAGATTTAATTAACTAGAACCTTGAAACTTTTCTGCTGGCTGTACCTTTTTTTTTAACCATGGGAAACTGGCTGAGAGCGAGAAGACATCCGGCTGTTTTCAAAGTGCAGTAACTTTTGCGGCATCCTTCCAGGCTGCCGTTCCTGAAACACGTCATTACCATCGGCAATGACCAGATGCCGTAAGTACCATAAAATTACAGATGTGAGTGAGTGCTATGATTGCTTTATAGGGTGACTTACTCCGCATTGTTTCTGTTGTGTAATGTTATTATTAAAATATGTTTTTAGTTCCTTTTATCGCTATTTAGATAAAATCTCCACATCTGAGTAGTTCACTCCCAATAAATCACTAAACGCTTTCCTATAAATCAACTCTTTCGAACATGTTGGCCTTAATTTCCATGTCTTCAATCTCTTAACATAAAATTGTCAGCCTAACGTCAACGGCGACCCGTCTGTAATTAAGGTACACATGACTCGGTGCGTGGCGACTCTAATAAAACTATGCAAGTAAATATGAACATCAGCTTAACGAGTGTGTAAGGCATAAAAAATGAAGATAAATTGAGAACTCGAAATAAGGGTTTATAAAGAAAACTCGTTGCTGCACAGTTCACAATAAAGGTGCTGAACTCTTACGCCGGCATTGGAAGGACTACTGACTTTATGTAGCCTGCTATGACTGCTATCATACACGCGCTATTTTCAGTATAATTAGTACTCTCAACACGCAATGATTGACCAGAATAGACTCGAACATTCCTGAAAAGCAACCTTTGCTGAAATAAAGTTCTGGCCTGATGGGGTTTGAACTGCGCTGCTTCGCGAGTCAACCACGTGAGCGTTCAACAACGCCACGATTGCGGCAATATGCAGAAATTGGACCAATACAAACTCCGGTAATGGCGCTTATTTAAGCTCAATTGTGGTAACTGAATTACTGCGCAATATAAGTTTTGCCTTAGTAAAAGTGTGGTCTAAAATTAAACGGAACTTTGCAGGGAACTGGACTCTATTTTTGATACCAGTATTGAAAGTACGAATATTTAAGTTACGTTCAATCTTTTGTGTTTTGTATCTAACCGCAACTTGCAAAATGTATGTGTTAAATGTATTTTTACAAAAGTGATATTTTAAATTTAATATTAATTAAATATGAGTATGTTAGCCCTCCCTTCCGGAATTTGATTACAGATTAGGTGTTTGGACATCTAGTCGATGAGAGGATGGTCTGCCCTTGCCCGCCAGTGTTTCATATATTTCCTTCCCTGAAACCACATGCGAAAGGACAACATTTCTGTAATGACAACGCCGTCATGCTCGCAGCATCTGACTGGTTTGAGGACAGATACAAATTGGTCTTTGAACGCAGAATGCGTTCAAGTGCTGTGATCTTTAAGGAGAAAGTGCGAGGGAATGACACAGAAACCGAAAATAAATGTTCGACACGTACTTTAGAGAGCAATCTATACAAAGGGACACATAATGAAGAAGAAATATAGGCCAAGAGAGAAAAAAAAACTCTAAACTCTACCCGACAGGAATCAACCCCATGACGCCATGATAATGAGCCTCACACTAACACTGCGCCAGAAGGAAGACTTGCGAAGAGGAAAGAACCCGTCTACTCATTGTTTAAACGCGAACGTCAAGCGCCAGCGTTCGGTGTTTGCCTTACAGCAGTGATTAGAGACAAAAGCTGCAAGCGTTTCGTCTAACCTCTAATCATTCCAACCAGAGCTTGGTGGACCGATCTCCTCACGCGATCTCACTTCCCTCTCTGTCTCTCCTTTTTCTCTCACTCAGTATCCGGTCTGTATAACGATAGAAGGCAGAAAAAAAGTCACTGCGAAGTCTGCAACAAGTTCCAAAGTATTCTGCTGCAACGCATTTTGTGTGTACCGATTCAATCCATATGATCAAGTTAATATTTCTTTTCTCCACGGGTTGGCAGCACTGGAGGCCCTCTAAAAGAAGTAGATCATACCCGAATCGAAGATACGTGAACAAGATCTAAATTGCCGTTCGCTTGGGAGAATTCTATTAGAGAAAGGCTCACTACTCAAACATCCTTCTTATGTGGAATGTACTTGTGCTTGTTTGCTTTTGTGAATGTTTATTTACATTACGCAAAAAGAATTTGTTTCAGTGTTAGCTACATTAAGAATGTACCTAATGGCAAGAATTAAAAGCCATCTACAATGATGTAATTGTCAGCAGACTAGTGGTTGGCGCCTAAAGAAATGGTGACGACTGTGCTGCGCGCAGCTACACTTTCCGAGAGCATGTAAATGCCGTTAAATCTACACATTCATCTCCCGCAGAGGCAGTATTACTTTCAAAGACCTGATGAATTCATCAACGGCTGAAGACCACGCCACAATGAAATCTCTGTCTGCCAAAGTGCAGTTCGACCAAGACGCTTTTATTCAGTTTTCCTCAGTAAGTGTTTGAAAGTAATTCTTTTAAGCTTGGGAATATTAGCATCCCACAAAAAAAAAAAAAATTCAAAAACTACACCAATGTCAATGTTTTCGATGAAGCAGAAGAGTAAATGGAGGCCTCGCAGTAATGGTCATGGGAGTTCCACTGCCTGCTTCGAACAGCGATTTGATCACAAATGTTGCCGTCAAATCGAGCGAGGTGTTTACAGGTTTTATAAATTCACTCTTGAAGAGAATGCCAGAAAAAAAAAGAACTCAAAAACGGCCGAAAGATATGTTGCTATCGTCACAAACTAAAAGAAACGGTTTTTTTTTTTACTTTTTTAATTTATTTATGAGTATTTATGTATACATTGCACATCGCAGTGTCTTAATGGGTCGAGCAGGCATAGAAACGTGACACATATATACAAAACGGTCTATAAAAATAAATTAGATGGCATAACCCAGAGGGTTCGTTTTATCGAATGTGAGACTGAGCATTCCAATTTTATCTCGATGCGGTAAGCAAATCGGAGCACCCTCTCTTCCTGCTCCCCACGTCTGCGAATGGAAGCATTGCAGGAGCGCTGTTATGAATTTTATAACCTGGTAAGTTTGTTGTAGATTGTTTAGACACCCAGAATGTTAGTCAGCTGCGGCATGTCTCAAAGTTGTAGTTTATGAATTTAGCCAGTGCAGTACACCCGCCGTCCTTGGGTCCTTAAGGTGCTCCACGAGGTGACATCGTGGGAATCATTGCTGCGTCCTGAAAGGTCAGGTCCTAAAAGGCTTCGGGGTGTTCGCACGGATCACGAGTTCAGGCATCGAAAAAAGAGACATGCACCCGCAAAACTCGCCTGCGGGTCCCTCGACTTCGCATACAAGCAAAGTCTACATAGGCTCTTTTCGCGGTAGATTCAAGGACGAACGTGAGCATCACGTTTCTTTGTCGGTTTGTCTGATGCAACGCTAAGACTACAGCGCCTTGGACGCTTCACCAGCGAAAGATACCATTATGTTTCGAGTGCCACGAACGTCACGTCAGCGCCGCGTTCCGATTGGTTGTCGCTTCGCGGTTCGCGAAAGCGGTTGGGGCAAATCGGTCCCGAAGCGCGGCTGACAAAAACGCGCTCCAAACGCTCGATCCCAGTTGCTTTGTGGTTGAGAACGCTCAGATCTGCTTCGTGCTTGCGGATCCGCTTCTAGTGCGAATGCGGCATTATTGAGGCAGCACCCGAGATCCACGTGGCCTGCCGCTTTTGGTCACCAGGATATAAAAATGTGGCAAGTGAAATACAGGAACTGCAATGGCGGCCGAAATTTAGGCGGGTATTTGAGGCCTTATTGGCCGGTAACCATGTTTACAGATAACACTGGTATAATAAACAATATTAATAATAATCCCTTATGCAATCTTATTAGGTAAAGGTATATTGAGAATACAGTTTCTATATACAGATAATAAATAAATCGGCATTTTGTTTTTTTTAATTTTCTGCGTGTGGTGCTATTAACAAACTTAGCTACTCAGAAGCACACCTTGCGGCTCTGATCAGACACGACTTGATGGAGTATAAAAACTAATTGCAAAACACAAACATCCTGTTTTCAAACGTTGCCAGTATTGTAAACTATCAGCATTTATTATGCACTCAGGGTACAACAGGGCTGCCGAAACCGGTCCGACTGAGTCACTTCAACGTTGTCAACAACGCCAACATTGGGGGCCGCTGTATCGGATACCATCGAAAGGTATCGTACTTTTCCTAATCCAGTAGAAATAATAGCTTGAGCAAAATATTATACGTTCTACATTAAACCTAAAAAAGCAGTTTACGAAATTAGCGATTCCGGGCAATTCATATACAAGGCGTTCCGTTAAAAACTATAAAAAATATAGGCAATTACAATTCAAATGAAGTTTTGATTCCCTCGTGCTAACATTCGCAACCTGGACGGAGGTCGAAGTACAAACTGAAGGAGTAAGAAATATAATTACCTATGACTAGCTAACCGAACTTTTCAATCTTTAGTTATCTGACACGTTTTAATTAAGGATGCGTTGACGGTCATTCAAACACGTTATCGCAGTTTTTGATGATAGAAAGCGATATATATTTTGGCGCTATTCACTAGTCATGTAGGGCTGTTTTCGTTCGATGTTAACTTTCTAGGCAGTACACAAAATGTAAACGAAAATTGTTTTATGGTGTGGGTTATAATGTTTGGAAAGGTGTATATAACCATTGCAAGTTTCATCTAACTGGTGGCGACTATAGCCGAATTCATAGCTGGCTCGAAATTCAGAGCCCCCGTTTAAATTGATTGAGGTGTAAAAGATAATTTACTCTGCACTTTCCTGTATATTCTTTTAAATTTCATTTACCCTGAGGGTTCAATTTATTAAACACTTGAGTTCAGCAATACTCGTCACGGCCGACGTGGCACATACTTTTCGTCTTTCTATAGTTCGAAATATTTTGGAGTCATTGATACCGTGTTACGGTAAAAGCCATTCCACAGAGTGGAAGGGCACATATGGGCACCGAAAGGAGAGAAAATATCGTCCGTTCGTTGGTCAAAAATCGTCAGCCATTCCACTTTGTGAGGTTGGATGAGCAGCGAAGATGTTTTGCACACGACTCAGACGTGACACCGAACTTTGAACAAAGGTACGAAGACATTTATTTTCTTGATCGGTGGTCATTGTGACGGAAGGTGCGCACACACATGTGCGTGCCTTTTTGTCGCCGCCCGAGAAGTCGGAGAAAACTAGACACGCACAACGGGACCGCCCCCCGGGTAAGGAAAGGAAACTAGCACGGAAGCGCTTAAAACGACGACAAAAAGAGGGCAGTTGCAGCATAGATATCGTCCGAGTTTTTGCTGGCGCACGCCAAAAATGCACTGAACCCTAGCTATAAGCAGCTACGCTGTAAAGTGCTTTTCACTCTGCCGAACCGTTTTACTATCACGCTTCAAACCTCTCGTCCAATTTGCATGGCGGAACTGAACATTTTTATTCGAGATAATATTCGCATCTTCTTATCCCCTGAATTATCCAAGAGTGTAGAATTTCGGTATCTGCACTTTGCCAAAATGTACCTCGATATTCTAGCAGATGTGCAGTGAGATAGCGTAGGGTACAGGAGTTCACAAAACGCGAGACCGAATTAAAACGTATACATAAAAACTTAGATATTCAAAACAGGGGATCAACGTTGTCACAAGTAAGCAGTCCCTTCAGCAGGTTTTGACCCTGCAACATTGTCGCACGGGTTAGGGAAATAGCACACGACGTGCCACACAGAAACTAAATGAGCTGCTCATTGAGTTACTTCAACAAATTTTTATTTCGCAAAAAAAGCGAACTGGTACGGACCTCCGGCCTTTATGGCACACATCAACCCTCCTTGTTCGAAAAAAATATTGTTATTATTATAAAAAACAAACAAACCAGAAAAATTTTAAATTTAGTTCTATTTTCCGCGCACGAGCTGACTTCGATCTTCTTTCCGAGCGATGCCGTCGTGCTAATATCACAGAATTTCATTTTGAATGATACATTAGTATAAGAATAAACCTGCGGCCCTTTGAAAAGTGGACATTCCGGTGTTATTTATTTTATACTTTTAAGTATACGAACTGCGTCGTCAAGAATTGTAGCAACTCGACAGTACCTTATATTTGAGACAAACTAGATGGCGAGATGCGTTTCTTGCCGTCATCAGATATTTCGCTCCAGTTCTTCGGAAAAGCGCAACCGAAAAGCGTTCTCTCTAGCGGCTCCTTGGTCGCTAAAGCCGAGCTATTTATGTTAACTTCTAATGTTTATGACTTGTAGCGCTCTGCATCAAATATAGAAGTAAACATCCGATTCAAATATTGTGCCGAATAGTTTTGAACACTTATGCACGCTGTCTTCACGACAGGCTACTGTTGTTTTTTTTTTCTTTTTTTTTAACACTTGCCAACCTACTTATTCAAGTCCAATAAAAAATAAAATTCTCTAATTATTTTCTTTGACGTCACACGTTTGAAGTTCGTAAAGGGCCTTGCTATAATTCTATAAATCAAGAGAAAATGATTTCAGGAATGTACGAGTACTTACTTTCACGTGGGAAACTATCCTGGTGTAACTTGCAATGAGAAAACGAGTTTCTTGCTTTTACTTTAAATTTCAATCCGCCAAATAGACAAGAATTACACACGTTCAAGCATTACAAAACCTATCCATCTATTGTACGCCTTTTACGATCTCAGTGTGCGGGCGCAGTTTTATACAAGGTTTGATTTTACAGTATCGGTCACTTTGATTTATCTGCGAGGCTTGGACAATTGGGAAGATGTGCATAAATGAAGTGTTTACCTTTAATTGTTTCACGAAAAAAACAAATACGATTATTCTTGTTTGCAGCATGAAATCATATGCATGAACGCAGATTTGATCTACGGATTCGGCAGAACACTGGGCGTGTTGGGTGCATCGATGTTTGGTTCCACCCTACTTATGCCGGGAGCTAGATTCTCAACAAAAACGACCCTGGAAGCCATCACCAAGCACAGGTTACACAATCCTTCAATATATTTTCGATTATTACCCGGTTTATCCTATTTGGTAATACAAACCAATGACCCCAAGGTGACAGTGGGGTAATAGCCAAACTACAAATACACGCTCTTAACACTCGACTTATTTTTAACTATGACAATCTAGCTCACATCTTTCTACTGGTTCACTTTGAGGAAGTCTGCAATTAGACGTGAATTACACTGAGACAACTACTCTAGAACGTCATTTTTTGTTAAGAAAAGAATCGCCCCTCCGGTGTCAGTTGTGATGTACAATTGTGCGAACAACTTCTTTTTACTTATTTATTTTGTTTATTTATTCTTCCGTTGAAGATGTCCACCAAACAACTAAACGCCTTACGGGTGGTACACCATAATACACTCGACACGAGACATTCGATACGAACAGTGCAATAATGAAAGAAGAAAGACAAAATTGAAATTCAGATTTTCAATGTCATTTCCGCTACCACTACGTTTTCAGAATCGTTAAATCTCACAAAGACATATGTAGCAGGTTACGTAAGATTGTTGTACAGGTCCACCATTCTTGTGCGAGGCAAGAAGTTTGAATGTCTAAGAAGATAAAAAAAAAGTTCATTATATCTCAAGAAACGAGATGGTACACGAATGCTTATGGCTCTTAACAGGCCCTTGCAAAAAACTCCGCCATTTATTAGTTCGTGCAAAAATAACAAATCCCTAATATTTCTTTTTTTTTCTGTGCAAGTGTGATCATTTTCGAATCTACAGAGTAGTACTTTAGAAAAAAAAAAGAAAATATTTCCTACCCAGGTATTGGTCGCAAACCAAGCGAATAACCTGTTTTGGCTATCCATTTTTCTCTAACTTCGACAAAGTCAAGGAATTTCACGCAGGGGATGCAAATTCCAATGTCGAGCGGACGCAACAGTTATACAAAATATTTCAGTTTTTGGTGCTTTAAAGTTCTGTGTATTTGTGGATGCCTTGCCAAGTATCCTCAGTGATGAAATAACTACAGCGTTCACCTGTGCTTCCATTCAAAGTTTGTCAAGCGCACACTAAAGCTCATTTATGAACCTAAAATTTAAGCCTGATCGTCCATGCATCGGAAGCCTATGTCCAAAAGCACGCTCGATATTCCAGATGCACGATCGCAACCGGTTCAACCACCATATTCTCCGATATCATACGTGAGTTTGACGAAGGAGCATACGACGTTTCTTCCCTTAGAAAAGGTATGCAATTTTGCTCTAATAATGGTCTAGCAGCATAGTTTCTGCTATGGCCTATAACTCGGCTCGCATTATCGCATAATGCATTGATGACAACAAGCGTGCGATGCGTTCTTTTCATATCACTTTGGATAGATTCACGCTCAAAAAAGCCCCAACACATCTGCGAAAATCTGGCTTGAATTATGCAAAAATTGGAACTGCGAAAATTATTACACGCGCTTTAAGAGAAGAAAGCATGTTTAATGTAAGCAAACTGCAAGTAGGGTCTTGTTAAAAGCACGTTAGGAATTCTCGTATCTCAAATATTCTCGTGTGGTTTATACTTCAAAATGGGTGTGCAATTATTTGCTTAAATTTTGAATTTTGCACATTGGCGCTTTTATTCCGGGCTGAATCCAACCTGTAGTGCAACTCTCCACAACAATAGCATTGTTAAAATAAAACCCGTTTTGCGTTTTAGTTGTGCTTCGCAGCACACTCAATGTGCTCACTATAACTACCATATCGTGCTGATTAAAGTGAGATGAACTTCATTCCCAAAATCGGGTCTCATTCCCTAACGAAAATCCAGAGTGAAATTTCACTATCGGGATTATGGATCAGCAAATTCATCTGATTCTATCTGGATTCGGTCTGGATTTACGCGTTTTAAGAATCAATCCTTTGTTTGCAATCTGGATGTCAGGTTCCAGTAACAAAGTTTCAGTTTCAAATGCAAATAGTAAAAAGTTATATAGGGTTTTTTGGTAGTGTTTTTATCCGACAATCCCGTCTTGCTTCTTTGTCTCTACTGAAACATTTTTCTTCTTTTTCGATATCTCATTGTCATGGCTAACGCTTTCATCCTGAGTGCGCCACCGGTTCTGTTCAGCAGCATCCCCTTCGATCCGTTTTATATTTTTTCCCCTTTTGCGAGGCACCGTAAAGACGACCGATGCACATCCAGCAATCGTCTGCCTTTCATTCTAGACCAGAGCCAACTGCGACATACGCATACACACCGTTAGCAACTGCAAATCACGCTACCCGTTTTCAAATGACACAAGCGCGGAACAACCCATGACCCGCGCATGCGTATAAAACGTAGAGGGGGAGACACCATTGTGGCTGGAAGAGAAACAAAGAACGGGAGGAGGAAACCCTTACGAGTTAAAATTGACCATTTTGTAATCTGGATACCAATATCAAGGATATCGCACTTATCATGGGACACACAACGTAGTATAAGAAATTGTCGTCTACACCGTCCACGATTCAGCCAATTGCTGCGTCAAGCAAATGGAGGTCACTATGTGATTGCCCGCCGTCTGGTAGCATAAGGCCATCTCTCCAACGTCTCACACGACGCGTCGGGCATTTAGTCGTCTATCTTGGTCTTTAAGCGCGAAACACCTCATCAACAGAATGTTCCATCGGCCGCAGGACTTGTCGGAAAGGCTTGCTTCTTTACAGTCTTAAACAAAAATGGGGGAGTGATTTGACAGTTACACAGCTGCTTGCTTCTGCGTTAAAATTGTGGCATGGCTGCCGCAATTAACACCAGCGTGGGGCTACGTGAAGCTGCACAGACTGACGCACCTTTGCCTCAGCGACGTATAGTCACAAATAACAGATAATTGAGAAACAAGGAATACATCTTTAATGGGTCAAGCGTGCCCCTTACACGAAAACGAATGGCAACTGTTCATTCTGTGGGGAAAACAAAGGGGAACTGTCCCCGTTCCTGGCATAGTTTAGAATCGTCTAGGACAACACCGCTCTTACTGAGTTGCGGTTTATCCAGAATCTAACGGGGTCACAGTGTTATGCGCGGTCGTTCGGGATCGCGGGAGTTGGGATGTTGGGGTATGTTATGGAATTGGCCGAATTAGCCTGAAATCTCTCTAGAGGAGTAACATCACGTTCCGCCAGAAGGTTCTGTAGGCTCAGGACAGCACGTGCTCCGATCGTCTTATTTGTTATGACCATGACTTTACAGTGGTACTGGAGGGGACTGTTCGGTCAGACTCTCTTTGAGGACAAGTCTAATGAATGTCTAAAGCGCTGCTCCCGTCTACGTCAAAATAGGTTTCCCTGCATAGTTATATAGGAATCTAGCATTGAGTGGCGCAAAAGGAAAACTGTACCTGTTTTATTTAAAACTTGCAAATGCCAACCTGTATACAATAAAATGACCGTCACTGGAAGCCGTTAATTTAGCTTGCTCGAGTGCCATGCGGAACGTTTTGTCAAACAATTTATGTAATAGAGTTTTCTTTGAAATCGAAGTCATCGACGATGCTTTTATTCACAAGGTTTCCTTCGTAGGGACTTACAGCAATCTGCAATTGGCCTCAATACTCTAATGAAACTGCGAAACATATTCCACCGCTACTGGGATGTGGTTCATACCTAAAGAATTGGTTGTGGTTGCAGATTCCTTGGAGTAGCTACGAGCTTGTTTGTCTTTTTGTTTTAACTATGTATTTACGCCATTCTGCCTGTTTCTTGCCTGATATTACCTCTATCCATTGCTTTTTTAATATCCTTTGGTGTGTGTCATTTCTTTTCGCAGCAATCATGGCTGGGTCTTTATGTAATCCTCTCATTGTGGAAAAAATAAGAACAAGACTGAACGCCCAAGCTGTATACGTACGTAAACTATTCTGAAGCGAGTCTCTATTACGACATGCTTTCCTGTCTCATGGGATTGCCATGTTACACTTTACAATAATGTGACCTTTCAGATCATGTATGGTGGCGCCGAGACCAGTCCAGCGTTCAGCAGCACGAACCCTGATGAGCCAACAGATCGCTGGATTCGGACAATCGGGACACCGTTGGAGCACGTTGAGGTCGGTACTCACGGGTCGCTGCTCGCTTTCAACTAGGGATCAACAGTAATATGCAGTGACATCTACACTCACTCGAATATTCTAACTGAGCTATCAACCATTACATAAATGGTCGCTCTCTAGCCTGCCTTATAGATGTGTCACGTTAGAGACAAGAAGTTCGACGGTTTGTACAACGCGTCCGAGGGCAGTCCGAGTTTGGCAAGGTCCAGGAAAATCTAGGTATCCGGCTAATTTCGTCTTTCATGTGTCTCGCGCTTAAAAAACATTAGTACAGATGTGTCTGCACTCGAAATATAGCAGAGTTTTTCTTGTAACTCTGAAATGGTGAAAAGAAATCTTTAAAAAATATAAAAATAAAAAAAAAACGCGTAGGAAAATTTAAAAAAAAATGGGCACGGGACAAGAAGATATCATGTTACTTTAAAGAGGTCTTTGTCTGGAGTTCTGGGAGTCAGGCCCTGGAACGTTTGCTTCACCAAGTTAATTTGGAACAAAGAGAGACAAAATTTAGTGGCGAGATTTCTGGCAGCCACTTTTTGAGGAGAGTTCTGTGGACGGTAATTGCAAAGGCATCCAGATTAACGCATTTTTGTGTTCATGTTTGTTATTGTATCTATCATCATGGTGGCTGACGTTCTACAACGGGCAGAGTGAACATGCTTTCTTGCTTCGTTTACCGTTCCCAGAAAAATTGGCGAACCTTCCATTTTTGACCCGCACAAATATTTGCTTTCTCATTGGTTTATCTAAAACTCTCCATTATAATAGAACTCTACACTTTACGAAACCCCTCTTAAACGCCGGGTGTCCTTATTCTTGAAGATGTGTCTCTTCATGACTCACCTAGTGTATTCATAAGCCAATCTATATTGTAAATTTTGTTTTCTAGTCATGTCAAAACACTTTAAAAAAATTGTTTCCTTTAATTTTGTCCGCTCATTAATACATGCCAAAAAAAACAGTTGCATTAAAAATAAATTGCAGTCCTGAGGTGGTATATTGTACTACTAAACCAGCCACACAAATAAACCATAAATATAATACTCATTTCTATGACAAGTGGTTTGAACACTGAGTTGAGTAAGTAGTTTCATTGTTTGTAATATTGAGTTACACATACCCTTGTCGGGGCCAAACGTGCGGGCGTGCTTGCACCTTTAGATGGCAGTGTTTTATTTTTTGGTCACTGTTACAGTGCATAAAACACTTCTTGGACAATTGTATTTTAGCTTCCTCCTTGGCGAGATTGCGCAATAAAGCTCGAAACAAGAAAAGTATTAAACACTGGCTTTTTATATTGTTTATCTGAACCTGGTGTTCGCGCTTTTGATCAAAACCGAAATTCTGCAAATAGAGCCCTACCTTACTTCCCATAATCTTTGCTATGCTGCATGACACCGAAATGATTCCGTACTCCGACTACCTTTCAGCATGGTTTCTCAGCTGTAACGCAGATATAACGGTTTTGAAGTTTCTAAGCGTAAAATTTTCGGCGAATTGAATTGAAACATTCGAGGAGTTTTTCAAACTTTTATACTTCAATCAAATTTACTCGCTATATCTCTAGAACCCCCTAAAACGTTACGTGTTTCTATTTGTTCCAAAAAACCCTCGTCCGGTCAGAAGTGCCGTGGCCGAGAAAATATATTATGTAAAAAATTCTATGACAAATCGTTTTGTGCATTTATCAGATGTGCTGGTGGGCCGCAGATGAAAATTTTACACGCTTATCTACTTTAAGTTTTTCTAAAAAGAACAATATTAGTACGATCTTTACTTACACCTTTTCCATCCGAGTGTCTATCGTAGCCATTGGGTAATGAAAGGCTTTCAGTCATGTCACCAATTTAAAAACAAATACAAGCTACCTAATTGAGAATTCAAACTGATTTGTCGTCATACGTTTTCCAGAATAATCGGCACATAATCTAGTATTATCTGAAGACCTAATGAAGCTGAAATAGTTAAATACAAATATCTGTGTGCCTAAATTAAAAACCGTAGGACACAAACCGAAAACCAAGCGGGTACAGCGACAGGCCCAGACGTCATGCCAATGACACTCAAAAACTCTGGGGAAAACGAGCAAAGGAAAGTTACGACGTGTAATTAAGCAAACAATTATTGGAGGAAACGCACTTGACGATTGCAAACTAATCAAAATGAAAGCGTGGGAAAACCGAACCTTGTCTTTTGCACCGTAAAAATAAACTAGACATTAAGGACAACTTAAACTCCGTCAGAACGAAGCCTCGGCCGTTTAGCAAGATGCTAAAGTTTCAGCACTAACCTTTGTCTTATCCAAAAATTTTGTAAACTTTTTTTAGAATTTTAAATTGGTAAATGGGGTTAATTTCCTCCCTTTTTCAGTTTCTGGCGCCATAGAGCTTCATGTACTCGAGAACTCCGTCGGGCGCCATTTGTTTATAAAAATTTAAAAAGAAATCGCGTATCGCTTCTAAGCGGCATCACTGATGGTGCTGAAACTTTGTCATCTTACTCTGCCGTCTGGAAGTACGTTCAGGCTGAGTTTGAGCTCTCCGCGGTGTCTAGTTTATTTTTTGCGGTGCGAAAAACAGGGTTCGGTTTTCTCGCGGACGCCCGGTATCAAGGCAGATTAAGCTAAGACAACATCAAGTCGCACCACTCAATAAGAGTAACACAAGTTTCAGTCGAATTTCTCCTCCAGATAGTAAAGCAAACATTAAAGGAATCGATGGAATGAACGCAAACTCTGCGCGGGCTTCAAAATAAATTCTGAAATTAAAAAAGGTTTCAAAATAAGCTATTCTTCGTGGCACTATATATAGAGATAACAGTAAAAAGCCAAATCACTCTATAGGTGTTATGACCATCATTGCTATCTTCATTGCTGAACGGTTATAACTTTGATGCAAATTTCATCAGATTATTCTAAAAGGTGTTCTTAGACAATAAGGTAGCTACAACATGGGAAGCAGAAACTACTCAACTAGCAGCAATAAAAGATGGCTCAGACAGGACTGTCCAGTCTCACCCTTCCTCTTCATTATATACCTAAGTGGAATGGAAGGTTTGTGAGCTGAGCAACTTAGGTTTTGATGTAAGCTATGTTGAAGGGGAAAATAGCTAATGCGAATAAATTCAGGACTAATTTATGTAAGCAACATAGTACTCGTGGCAGATACCAATTATGCAGTATAGGAACTTATTGGAATATGTCACGATAAAGGGACAGCTTGGGCGTGCGATTCAGAAGTGACCGGTTTGGAACAATGAAGCTCAGAAACGAAAAGGGAAACCCTTGAACATACAAGACATTTTAATAGTCCATGTTGAAAAATACAAATGTCTGGAAGTATGGCTTATTAAGGGAAAGATATCTCTAGGTGAACGCGAACAATATGAATAGGAAAGTGAAAAAAAATCTATTATGAAACACTTGGCACTATGAAATTATAATACATATAAGAGTTTTCAATGGTATATTTGTAGCAGTAATGGCACCAGGACTATTTGTGTGAAATTTGTACAGTGAGTGAGATGAGATGTTCATTCAGGATTGGTAATTCTACAAAGCATCGTGGTCAAGTTAGCAGTTAGGGGGCGTGGGAACGCACCTATGGAAGGACTGCAGGGGATATGGGCTAATCTTTGAGAGCAGAGTTAATTAGAAAACTGAAATTCGAAGGAAGTTTAACCGAAATGAATTACACCTGGTGGGCACGGAAAGTAAGCATTTATACATGAAAAGTTCACACAAAACTGACAAGCCGACTCCTAAAGTTGACATTTAATTATCGGCACACTAGGAAATGGACTGAGAAGAGTAGCTCAGTGAAAAATAAAGTGATCCAAATAAAACGTAAAAGATATCTGGGCGAAAAGTACAAAAATCTTCAACTTTTGACAATATACAGGGCACAAAATCAAGAGACAAAAAGGGAAATAGTGTTTGATAATTTAAACAACTATGTTATTTGTTGTATCAGGTGAGGATTTGAGTGTTAAAAACAAAGATGTATCGAGCGAAACTTAAAAACAGAATAGACAGATTGTGTACCATAAGTCATACTCAGAGCGAGACGCTACATTTTTTGTTTCGAAGTTCACGTGATTTTTGCCCTGCTCTCCCTGAAGGGGTAACAGTTCTGGCTAGGGCGCTGGGTTTTGTTGGTGATAATATAATCACGGAGAAGAAAATGATTACTGTCACAACGAGGAGGTTAGAAGACTGGTGGAAATCTTCAGGCTAAAACTGAAAAGAAAAAAAAAACGAGTAGTGCATAGCTGGACAGGCGGGACGGAGAACAATTTTGACTACTGCCCGCGTGGCTCCGGTCAAATACCCCAAATTTTTCTCCTAGTGGGCCCGGTGTTGGCGTAATGACGACTAGGTTTGACCAGAGGAAGAGTAACGACTCTCTCGCCGATAGTAGGCAAAGAGTAATGTTTTTAATTTTTTATCCCGATCCCCGAAAGGTCAACCTGGCGACATTCTACACTGCCTGATAATAGCTCCGAAAATGCAGAGCGGAAGCGAATCACCTTAGATTTGAGAGGGAAGGAATTGTATTTTTTTGTTGTTTCTATGCTAGGTGGCGCAAGCTACTGCCCGTTATAAAGGTTATGGCCATTAGCGTCCATCCATCCATCCTACCAATGCTGCGTCGTTCTCGGCAGGTGTTTACATGTTTGTCTGAGATTAGATTCGTTGCTTTCCTGTAAAACACTTAGATACGCTGGTTTTGTTTAGCTTGTGTATTTTTGAATTTTTTGGAGCCGATGCAAATGCACATTAAATATAAAATATTCGCAAAGAAAATTCTTGGTGAATGTTTCAAAAACTGTGTCGTTATAATAGATGTTATAAAGGCCTGCCGGTACGGCCCATCTGTACATAATTATTGGCCACCGGAAAGCGATACCGGTGACCCTAATGAAGCTACCGGCGCTAGTACGAGGATACCGGCCGCTTGGATGCACATGTAGCGTCTTTTAAACAGTGCTTTCATTTT